TGGTTTTAACAGGAGAGAAATTTTTCTCTACTGAGCCTCCAAAGGAGTGAAAAGCCATGAGAAAATGAGACTGACTGGCATCTCAGTGCTGCTGCCTAGTGATTTAGAAACTAGTTTTCTGCCTGAATGCTCAGTCCCCAGAGCAAAATACTTGCAGAAAAGAAAAAGGCAAGAGTTGCATTAAAGAAAACCTGTGGTCTGTTACTCAGGAAACAGGGTATTTCCTTTCCATATACAAGACCAAATTCAGCTCATCCAACTCATGTCCTAGGTACTCCCATTGCCAGCAATGGCACATGAGGAAAGGCAGTCCAGTTTGGCTGATGCAGTTTTACTGATTGTTAGAGGTTTTCCACAGCATTTATTACTCCATTCTCAACACTGCTTATGAGACTATCTTTTATAAATATATATTTTAATATATTTTCCTTACAAAGAAGAATTCATCTGCCCCCCTGTATCTGTTGGCTATAAAGGTGGGTTCCCACACTCTGTGATTCCTCATGCAATAAAAGTGATCCCATATCAGCCTTAGCCTGTTGAGTGTAATTGCTCAGTCCAGAAGGGTCCGCAAGAACAGTCACAAGAAAATATTTCTTTGCACAGGACAAGCTACAAAACATTGTCTTATATCACCATCTGCATCCTACAAGAAGATGACATTAAAGATTCTGTATTCATAATACAGTAATCTAATATTAGTGCACTGTGTTAGTGTGCGTCTTTTGGAATTAGGTTTCATTTACAGGTACTTTTAAAGATAGTAATAAATTACTAAAAGATCTTTCATCAATGATAATTGATCGTTGTAGATTCTTTGAAGCCAATCAGATTTTTAAAATAATGAAATACAGAAATTTCTAACTGTACCTTTTAGTATATTTCTAACCACAAATAGCACATGCTGTAGCACCAAGTAGCAAATAGCAACCTGTTACAAGTAGAACTGCTCCATTACAATTGCAATTTGTGTTGGAAGCTGGGGGCAAGAGGATGTTGCATTTTGGGAGTTTTTTTGTACAGGAAAGATCCCTGATGCGGGAGTTGGAACACAGCTAGCTACAGTGCAAGCTTCACCTTCCCCCTCCATCACTGCTTTGTTAATCTACATCAGTCCTCGTCTAAAATTACCTCACTTGAGAAGGGAAGAGTGATTTGTGTCCCTCCAGTGTTTGACATCTTTTCTAGATACAAATGATCTATTCCCATAATAATTATTTAGCATGTTTTGGGACATCAGCGTGCATCTTTTCAACTGCTGCTAATCTTGAGTTTGCTGAACAAGTTTATTGACTACATGATCCTTATTTGAAGAAAAAAACCTATTGTTTTTATTGATTTTCTGGTACTTAGGGCACTACCAACTTTCTGCTGACATTTCAAATCTAGTGGAAGTCAGCATCAGGTGCTTAAGAAAACCTTACACTGAGGAGGCTTTGTTTCTCTAGAGTGTAGAACAGGCTTTTCTCTCTGCTGTAGAGTCTGCAGAGGATTCTGGCAGAGGAGCGTCTTCAGCTATGATGCACTTTACCTTTGCTTTTTCATAGCGTCTAGGGCATCATCATGGAGTTTAATGTTGTAATGCCTACCATATAGGTAGTCTAACATGACTGTTTATATATCCTAGACAATCTAGTGGTGGCAAACTCTAATAAGCATGCTGTCGTTTCAATTATACTTGATTTGTGCACACACATATTGTGCACGTCATTTCCTTTTCTTCCCTCTTCTGTCAAGAACTATACATTAATTATAGGTGCAGTGCTAAAAAAGAATGCTAGTTTGACATTTCTAAAGACAGCAGAGGAACAAGTTTATGTTTGCTTATGTGGCACCTCAGATCACAGAAAATCCTAAATTGTGGAACATTATAAGAGTAGGGAATAAGGAAGGTTATATATTTACTACTAAAATCCAGCGTAGTCAAGACAACTCCTATATGGAGTTGCAAACCCAAGATGAGTCCTTTGAGCTAATGAAGCTAATACCCAAGAATAGCTGGGTGAATACAGAGAAAGGAGTATACAAGAACAGCACCACATTGTAGTCAAACAAATTCAGGTGAGAAGAGTAGGTAAAAGATGAAAAACGTTCCAAAAAGACTGGATAACAAGAATCATGCAGACTCTTCACCAGTGGAAAGTCATCACGGATCCCCTGAGTCATTCAGTCCCCCAGTATAAACTAGCTTTTAAAAACAAATAAGAAGCAATGGAATGTACGAGCGTTTGCTAGTGCTTGACTGGTCTCATCAGCAATGCCATCAAATTAGCAGAGACAAAAATTATTAGAAAAAGTATCCTAGTATCAAGACTCAATAGGAATAGGATGGTCATCTAAAAGGAATTATTCCAAAGTCACCACACAATTTAACAAGGGTGACAAGCTTTTATCCAGATGACCTCTGAAAATTAAAACTCAGGAAATAGTGCAAGTCAAGACTAACGTGTCCTCGTGCAGGAAGCACCAAAAATACAGAGAGAGGGCTAGACAGCCCAAGTTAGTCCTTTCTACATCTAATTCTTTGATAAAAAGAATAGAATTTAGTGTTGATGAGTTCTACCTAATCTTTGTACCTTGGTAGTTAACAAATTCAAAGAAAATATAAAAATTAAGTTCAGCTGCTACTGTTAATTTCATCTGCTAAATGAAATATTGCAGTTGAGCTTCCCTTAAATCTACCCATGCTGTTCCCTAGTAACATGCTGATGTAACTGATGATGAGAATATCCAGGAAGAAAAGTAAGCACAATTTTTTGAAGTACTAAAATATCATAATTATTTTTTTCTATCTCAATATAAATATCAAGTAAAAATAATTAAGTCTGTAGTCCGTCATCTGTCCTCTAGTGAGAATAACAACTGAGAACTAGAGGCTATCAATATTTTTTCAAAAGCAAGTGGTACATCTCCCTGCAGTATCTTATCAGTCTGAGCTTTTTTATATGTGGATAGAAAAAAGATGGGTTTTTTTCAGTAAAATGCCTTATAAATTGACACTGGGATTTATTCCTGAGCAACATATCTGGTATACCAAAATAATTATTCTTTAAAGTATACCTTCTAATGAGTGTGTTATTAATAGCTGTTCCCCAATACCAGTGACCATCTGTGATTGTTCCACCATCTGTGATTGGTATTCAGTTTGGGAGGGGGATATAACTGTGGTGGTAATGGACTGAATATACAATATAAATTAGTAGCCAACTAGACCTATTGATGATTAATTCGTTTTTGATTATAACTACATACTGAGCAAGAGAAAATTAGTTTCTTTGATCTGCTGGCACAACATGGATTTGGGAAATGGCCACAAGAAGTTGAAAACAAAATTAAATTACTTCTTTTATTGAAATCTGAAACATGCAAAAGTTGATGGAATTTAGATGAAGAGGATGAATGAGCTTAAATGGCACTTGAAAAGGTAGCAAATATTTATTTAAAGATCCATGACAAATAACATGTTGATTATTGTGATTTGCTAAGGTTAACTAAAAGGAGAAGAGGGTTGTCAACACTTCTTAAAAAATTTTACAATTTTTTGACAACATATTAGAATAAACTAGGGAAAGTACAGGATTTTTTTCTTATCCTAATTAGAATTAGAATCCTGCTGACTTCTTATCTGACTGAAGTAGTGTTTGTTTCAGAAGAAATAAATTAGTAACAGTTAGTGCTAGATAAAGTGTTATGCTTTTGTTGTGCCTGCAGAGCTAGAAGAGTCAAGTTGGTATTTAATATTCTTTTTACTCCCTTATTAAACTGTGCTAGTGTTCCTGTGTTTCACTGTCAAGGTTGCTGCGATCTATAATGGCTAAGGTGATTATTTCTAGAGTATGTGTATGGTCAAGTCTTTTATCCTTTATTGAAGAAAAATCCATCAGAAGCTATTGGGAATGCATGATAAAATTTCAAAATCATTCAAGTCCTGCTTCTTAATTTATGCCTACATTCTGTGGGAGCCTACTTCAAGCTAATATGAATCTTTCAAAAACCCTAGTAATTTAGGGTGTGATTTAGATTGCATCTAGGCAGTTCCGTTGCTTGCCTCCCTAGTTGATGAAGAGAGACAGACACCTCCAAAAAATGACTCATGAGCCTTCTCTTAGAAGAGGATGAATCACTGTCCGACCATGAATTCTGAGGAACTGGACATCTTGCCTTAACTAGATTCCTCATTTTTATACTGCTTAACTTTTTAAAGTTTTAAACTGTAGCTTTGGAACTGGCATTTCTCTCTTCATTTAGAAGAGAAAATGATGGACTCAAGAAAGATCACACCTAGGTTATCGGTTTTGTAAAGAACAAAAATTTTCCTGGAAAAAAATATGTGTGCCAGCAGAGGTAAGGCAAAAATGGCAAGGAGGACTGAAGGGTACTGAGGACTACCTGTTGTACCAAGTATGTAGAACCAGAAAGTTCTGCTTTGTTGACTGGATTTCAGAAAAAGTTACAGATGCTCAGTATGCACTCAGTGTCTGGCACAGAGATTTCTATTGCATTGTATAGACAATATTATGTATGTATCTATATATGTATTTGTATAAATAAAATACATAATATTAAATGTTATGTAGAAATAAGTTGTGTAGGCTTATATTCTCCCCTCACACACACGCACACACACTCTCTCTCTCTCTCTATATATATGTGCTTGTGTATAAGTATATGAGATAAAGTAAACTTTTGAATTACAATCTTCAATTCAATTTCAAGTATATAAAGTAAAATTTTTAATGTTAGGCTAAACAAAGTCCTAGTCAGTGCCTCTTCTGTTTTGGATCAGATGATAACTTATCTTCCTGACCTTTAATAGACTGCAGCATTTTCTTCATGCCATTTACTGCTGCTTATTCACAGATACCTCAAGCCTCCTCTGCATCAGAGAAAGTATGTGGTTAAGATATAAATCCATACCATGAGAAACTTGTAAACAGCTTGTGATTTATTAGAGAACAAGCCTCCAGGATAGTGATTCAGTCTTACTTCTTTTATTTCAGACAAAAAGTTCTTCAAGCATAACTCCGTCAGGCACTCAGAAGAAGGTGAAGAGGACTCTGCCCAACCCACCTCCAGAGGAAGCAACAGCAGGAACTCAGTCGCCCTATACCTCTGTGGGGTCAGTTTCACGCAGAAGGATTTGTCGGACCAACACTATGGCCAGAGCCAAAATTCTTCAAGATATAGACAGGGAACTGGATTTGGTCGAACGGGAATCAGCCAAGCTTAGGAAGAAGCAAGCAGAGCTAGATGAGGAGGAAAAAGAAATAGATGCCAAACTGAGATACTTGGAAATGGGCATCAATAGGAGGAAAGAAGCCTTATTAAAAGAAAGAGAAAAGAGAGAGCGTGCCTATCTCCAAGGGGTAGCAGAAGAACGTGACTATATGTCAGACAGTGAAGTTAATAATGCCAGATCAACCAGAATAGAAACTCAGCATGGTTTGGAAAGACCACGTACTGCACCCCAAACAGAATTTAATCAATTTATGCCACCACAAACCCAGCCAGAAACACAGTTTGCCCCTGCTACAAGTCCATATACTCAGTATCAGTATTCATCTCCTGCCCTGCCTACTCAAGCACCAACTCAGTTTACACAACAATCCCATTACCAACAACAACAGCCTTTATATCACCAGCAGGTTTCACCTTATCAAACTCAGACAGCTTTCCAAACAGGAGCTACTATGTCGTTTACTCCACAGGCTCAACCTCCACCAACTCAACAGCCATCATATCAACTCCCATCACAGATGATGGTGATACAGCCAAAGCCAAGGCAAACTACGTTATATTTGGAGCCTAAGATAACCACAAACTATGATGTGATTCGAAATCAGCCTCTCATGATAGCTCCAGTTTCAACTGACAATAATTATGCAGTTTCCCAGCTGGGCAGTAAATACACTACCTTGGACTTACGGATGGGACTAGATGAAAGAAACAGCATGGCAAGCAGTCCAATATCAAGCATATCTGCAGATTCATTCTATGCAGATATAGACCACCACCATACACCACGAAATTATGTACTGATTGATGATATAGGAGAACTTACTAAAGGAACAGGAGCGCTCGGTTCCACTTTTAGTCTCCATGAAAAAGATCTGACCAAAACAGATCGACTGCTTCGCACGACAGAGGCCAGGAGAGCACAAGAAGTGTCAGACTTCCTAGCACCACTGCAGACTTCTTCTAGATTACATTCCTATGTTAAAGCTGATGAAGACCCAATGGAGGACCCTTATGAGCTCAAACTTCTCAAACATCAGATAAAGCAAGAGTTTCGTAGAGGTGCAGAAAGTCTTGATCACCTTGCTGGCCTGTCACAGTATTACCATGCAGATAGCAGCTACAGGCATTTTCCCAAATCTGAGAAATATAGCATAGGTAGGCTTACCCTAGAGAAACAGGCTGCTAAGCAGCTCCCAGCAGCCCTCCTTTACCAGAAGCAGTCAAAGCACAAGAAAGCTTTGATAGACCCCAAACTAACTAAGTTTTCACCTATCCAAGAAAGCAGAGACCTTGAGCCTGATTATTCAAGCTATATGACTTCTAGCACTTCATCACTTGGTGGAATTACTACTAGGGCAAGGCTTCTTCAGGATGATATCACTTTTGGCCTTAGAAAAAATATCACCGACCAACAGAAATACATGGGGCCAACACTGACTTCATCCATTGGAGCAAGCCTTGGGACTGCCCTGGGTCCAACAATGAGATCCACATTGCAAGATGAAGCTGATAAGTCTTATAGCAGTGGTAGTAGATCTAGGCCCTCATCCAGACCATCCTCAGTTTATGGACTTGATTTATCATTAAAAAGGGATTCTTCCAGCTCTTCTTTAAGACTGAAAGCCCAAGAAGCTGAACCCTTAGATGTTTCCTTTAGTCATGCAGCACCTTCTGGAAGAACTAAACCTACCAGTCTACCTATTAGCCAAAGCAGGGGAAGGATCCCGATAGTAGCACAGAACTCGGAGGAAGAGAGCCCACTAAGTCCCGTTGGTCAGCCAATGGGAATGGCAAGAGCAGCGGCTGGACCCTTGCCACCAATATCTGCAGATACCAGGGACCAGTTTGGATCAAGCCATTCATTACCAGAGGTCCAGCAACATATGAGGGAAGAGTCACGGACTCGAGGCTATGATCGAGATATAGCCTTCATCATGGATGACTTCCAGCATGCCATGTCAGACAGTGAAGGTAAATTAGGCCTCAGACTGATATCTTACTATCACAACACAAATCCTCATTTCTATGCATGTGTCTAATTTTTATCATACTACAAAGACTTGTTCTTCTTTCTGTTTCTTGGTGCATCTTATGTGTATCTACCATTTTGGTATTTGATTTGTTTTTTGATATTTTTTATTTAATTCTAACAGCAATTGTCTGGATGGTGTTCAGCTACTCTAGCATGCTCCCTGTATTGTTGTTGATTTGCTTTCCTTTTTGTTTGCTTGTGCATTTCTTTTTATTTGTTGGTGTCTACTTTTTTAAAGATACAATAGAGACTATTCCATGTATAATACATGTCCTGCCATCCCTCCATCAGTCTCTGTGTGGAGCATTCTCCAGTGACTGTGAGTCGTTGAACTCATTTGCAATAGTTTTTGTTGGGATTTGGAAAATAATTCCCAAATCCTCCAAAAAACTCTAGTACTAAATTTTATTTGCATGAAATGTCATTATAGAATTTAAGAACTGATAATTCCGTCTCCTGATGCACCACTTTAGAGCTATGTTTGTATGGAAATAGTATGTTCATTAAGTACATATTGTATGTTAGAACCATTTAGAGTTTAACATGATAGCAAAATAACATTCTACATATAGTTTGTTAAAAGCATCCTGTCACGTGGACTTCTGTGCATTCAGAATTGTGATGATGTAAGATAAATTGTCATTTGGATGGTGCGAGACAACCTCATCCTTCAATAAACTTGCATAAAGTATACTACTTCTGCTGGTGGATTATGCAACATAGCTGGTTTTACGTGCACCCCGTACAGTACCTCTGCCAAATAAGCACAAGAGTTTATCTCACTTAGGTTCATGAAAGGAACCTTTCTGATGTATTATAAATGGTGCAATTAAAAAATGTTTCTTCTAATAAGTACAGCAGAATGATAAAGCTTATGTTAATTATGTACCAGTTTGTTTGACTCAGTTCAGAGTTAATATATTCTAAATTGTTTAAAGACGGTTTGAAAGAAAATGAAATTAATATGTTCAAATTGTATGTGCTTCCTTCACTCTTTCTTATGTGTATTTACTGCACAATAAAAGAGACTTTGCATGCGCTATATTGTCTGTAAATGGCAATGATTGTCTCAAAAGACATATTTGCATGATTATGAAGTAGTATGGTTTATTTTTCAGGTTTACATTAACATCAACATTATTGCATTATTTCTTTTTTACGTAAGCTGAGTCTTTCATGTGGGTTAGAAAATGAAACCTATTTACTTTCCTGATACTGCAATATATTATGAGGTTTTGTTCTGTAAGTCCTTTTCGTATTTCTTCGATGTTTACAATCCGTTCATGAAGTGTGTACTTCAGAGGAATTTCAGGATCGTCAGCTTTTTTAATTTTTATCACAAGTTTAAGTGTTTTTACTGTTCTTCTTAAATTCTTAGCACGCAGAGTCCTCTAATTGAGATGGCAGTTTAAGGGGCCCCTGGGTTCTAACTGGTATCATTCTTTTGTTTTTTAAGTAGGTGTTGTCCTGTCTAGACCTGACTTATGTACTTTAAGGGTTGTTACAGGGTTACGTTGTGAAGACACGGGATATTCCTCCTGAAAACTAAGAAGAATCAACCTGGACCCCAAAATACAAAAAGCCTATTTGGTTCTATTTTACCACATATTTACAAACAGCTCATAGGATTTTACATTTCTGCTCTACAGTGCTTTATTTTTCTGTTATATATTTATATAAGGTATATATATTACTTGTTTGGTTGCACGTATTTTGTTTTTGAACTATTGTCTGATTAGATACACTCATTCAAAAGTATTCCCACTCAATTCACAGAGTCTTGATTTGATTGACATGCCCCTGAACACCAGTGATTTCCCTTTTAATAATATTTTTTCCAAATTTTTCAAGCTTTTTCTTTTTTTTTTTTTTTTTATTTACCAATTTGGCACTCGTGAGAACTGATAGTCCTATGTCTAGTTTTAGTCTTGCCAGTAGAGGAAAGACATTGAGGTACTTGAGTGACTCTGGCAGAGGTCCACCAAGATGGTCGGGAGCTGGAGCAGATGATCTACTCCATCATGGTGCTGGGAGAACCGAGTTTGTTCAGCCTGGAGAAGAGAGGGTGAAGGGGAGCTCTTATTCCTGTCCACAATTGCCTAACAAGACGATATGGAGAAGACAGAACTAGGTTCACAGACAACTATTGGTTCTCTGATCTTTACTGAGCTCTGCAACCTGGAGTCCAGTGTCACCTTTTTCAAGTGTGTGCTGTTAACAGCATGAGACCTTATGCACTTCAGTGGGAGTTTTTACAGAGGGAATAATTCGCCGCATTGGTTAGATTTAGAAACAAGGTCATAGCCTCTACAACCATCAGTGCTTCATCTTGAGTGTTCTCAGGTTCCATCTAAAACAAGTCGCAAGAAATCAAGCCAAAACCAATTCTGTGTATGTACATATGTGTGTGGTGTGTGCCTGTATACACATACATGCATACTTTCTTTTTATTTCATAAGAAATACATAGATTCATCCTAGTTTTGACAAAAAATGTAGGCTGATCTGACCTGCGATACGGAATTGTACACATGTGCTAGCTTTTCGGAACCAGAAATGCAGCAAAAGTTGTCTCAGATGAGACAGGAAGACACTAAATTTCATATTTTCTCCTCTTCATCCAAGGACACAGATTATCGCAGTCAGCATTAGTACCTGGGATCAGGAGAATACCTTAGGTTCTTAATGTAAGCCTCAATCAGAAGTTCTGCTGGGATGAGTTATGAAACAGCCTGGTACATGCAGGCGGTCAGTCAGTTAGCACGAATGTGCAAAACATAAAGGGTTTGCCTGTTAGATCGTAACAGTTTATTAAGAGCAGTTGATCAGTAACTGTAAGTACTAGTCGGAGAAGATTCAACTTTTAATAAAGTTTCTTTTGCTTCTTCTGTGCTGGTCTAAATAATGTTTTCAAACCATTTTGTGTTAGATTTAATTTGTGTACACGTAGGAAGGGATAGACTGCATAACATCTGGACCAAGATTAAGATTTGTCCAAAAGCGGACTGTAATATGTGATGGCTTCTTACCACATAGACAATATTCTTTTTAAAAAGTCATGCATATATATTAGTCATATTTTAGAGAAAGTTAGTGAAATGGACATGAAAAAAATCAACTTTTCCATACAGCTTTTTTCTAGTCATTTGTTAAACCAATTAAATCATGTTCACTTTAACGAATGACTAGACAAAATTATGTATCCTACCAGTTTGCACTTTAAAAATCTCTTCTGTGTCATGGAACAATTGAATTCACTGCTGTTATTAGAGCAACAATTGACCTTATTTTAGGTTTGCAATTTTCAGGTGTTTTTGCTGAAACAAATACTTTCTTTTAATTTTAAATTTATCTCACTTGCTAAACACAGAATTCAAACTTTCAATAGTATTCTAATTAGCTGCATATTACTTTTCAGTGATGGGCCATATAGAGGAAAATCTCTGTGTCCCATAGTGCAAATATTGTTGAACACATAAGAGCTGATTCTAATCGCAATAGAACGAAATCTGTGTCAGTTGACCCAATATTCGGTAGGCATAAAGCGATGTATTTACCAAACTGATTACAATGAAACTGTGTTATTTCATCCCACAAGAGTGTCTAGCACAATAGATTTTGCACCAGTGTAAAATTATTGCAAATACAAGAAAATTAAGTCTCTGAAGTTATTGCATGAAGACCATTCTGGTTAACTTTCCATGCACAAAGAAAGTGCATACTGCAAAATCAGTGACTGGAGTTCAAAATGAGAACACCTGCAGTATTTCTACTTAGGAGTACAAAGAATGTAGATCAGTTTTGCTTCATTTCTTCATTTCATAAACCAGACTCAGTTTTCATATAAGTAGTTCTAGAGATCTCCAAAATGTTTTCAGAAATATGTGATTCATAAGTTTAGGAGTTTATTTGGGGGGTTAGCGTTTGTGGGTTTTTCTTCTAGCCTACTAAAATATATCTACTTTTACTGATTTTTCATCAGACATTTCAGAAGTGTGTGACATCAGCAGTGTACTTCTGAGCTACCAGAAGGAAGGAAATGATTATAGCATTAAGCAGCGGGCTTCTCCTGTTATTTAATATCCATAGTTTAATATCCACTTGGACAGAATCTTCTCACTCTGCTTTGTCACTTATAGCTAAATTATGCCTGAGTTCAATGTCTCCAGTCTTGCCTGTAACTTTGCTTTAGCTGCATGGCCGATTAATAACCACTATGCATGTTTGCTATGCGCAATGCACATTACTGCCCTTTGCCCAGCACTGGATCAGAACATTTGACCTGTCCTTGGTTTTCAAAGCGTATCACCTCCGTCGTGAAGAAACAGATTGGTTTGACAAGCCCAGGGATTCTCGTTTGGAGAATGGACACGGCCTCGACAGAAAGCTGCCAGAGAAGTTATCCCACTCTCGGCCGCCAAGTCAACACCAAGACCAAGTAAGCTGTGCCTGCAGTTTTATGAATGTCTGAGAGTTTGAACTGAAGTGCTGTGCAACCTGCATTTGTCATCAGTACTTGATGATGACCTTCAGATAACTTCACTTATTTTCTGTACATTTTAGTATTAATTTTGCAAGTTGTCTTTTAATTTATGAAACATATCTGAAAGGAATTAATCCACTGACCAGTACTATATATGAATTAGATATTCCTATTTAAAAAAGATACAGTATGTTCCCATTTTACTTTATCAGCTTTATCCCATCCAAATTCAAGCCTCTTCTTTTAATAGTTTAAGGAACAGTTGCTCTTATACTACTGACACTGGTTCCCACTGTTAGTCCGAATAATCCCAACGCTCTGTGGTCAATTACCGAATACATCAGCAAGACTACGATGGTCTAAGAATTTGTTTAATTTATAGCAGTGAGAAAGAAAAATACATTATTCCATTTCCAAGCTTGTAACTTTGACATCTAATTCACCTTAGTATACAACCATATATCCTCTTTGTATTAATGAAGTTCATATATTTCATACGATATTTTTAAGTGCTTCACTTCCTTTTGAGCTATCATTTTTACTGATTGATTCAGATTATATTCTACTTCTGTGTGATGTAATGGGAGCAGTAGCAGGTATGACATGGCCCTTTTGTACTGCTTAATAGCTTAACGTGCTCGTGTTAATTCCTCAGATCACATCCAAGCAGCAATATCCTACTGTCATGTAGCCTTAGAAACTTTTTAGCTGGTGAGCATTTTCACTGACGTTTGGCAGTAGAATGTAGGTTTTATGAAGTAACTATCCATGTCTTATAGTATAAGCTATTATTTACTTTTATTTTTTTCTCTTTTGCCTATGACTCGTTTAACATGTATTGGGATTTACACAGCCTAGGTTGTACTGTCCCTACCCCTTTCTTGTTGGGAAAGAGGGCTTTACAAGATATCAGGTAGTCTTACAGGAAGCTACTCAAATAATTTACAATACAAATCAGTTTTATTGCAGGACAAAGACTGTTTTAGAGCCTTCAGAGCTCTTAATATTACTAATATATGCAATATTACAAAATACTTGCCTGTCTGAGCACTTTAATCCTCAAGAGAAAAATATATTATTCTAAAAATAAATATTTGACCACTGCAACATCATGATGTAAAATTAAGTATTTTACGTTGATAATAAAGTTTCTCCAAGAAAAGAGTTAGTAGCATATTGAGCTCTGTGAGGTGGAGGTGATCAAAGAGATATATAACTTGTAAAACGCCATAGCTTTTACCTTTGGAAATAGTTCCGTGGAATCTTACTAATAGTAATACATGTCAGATCATTGGATTTTTTTCTGTCATTTAAATAGCACTACGCTAGGACTGGTTGAAAGATGTTGATCAGATTTTTGGGGAGGAAAGTTAAGGGGGCTGAGAGTTTTTATTTTCTTGGATTTTTTTCCAGAAGGAAGATACTTTTACCTCCTGATCTACTGTGATATTCCCATGTGTAGATGGAAATAGAGATACCTCATTTACCAAAGGCAATTTTTAAGGTTTTGTAAAATTGAGGATGGAAATTGGAAGAATGAACATGTTTAGAGTAGTTCTACGTGGTGCCTTTACTAGTGTAAGTTTTGCGAGCCAAAACTTAAAGCTAGAGCAGAATAAAATTTATTTGGAAGAAGAAGTTTTATAGCAGTTTCCTCTTCATCTGTTTCAATCCAGTTTAGTTTACTGTCATTCACGCACTGATGCAAAATCATTTCAAAGTGTCTGCAGAAGAGAAAAACACCAACTCTCACCAACTTTGCATCATCTGCCTTGTTAAAATGTTGCATAGAGCTCATGTGTGCTAAATATCTTCTGTGTACATTTATTTGAGATAATAACTTAAAATTTTAATTCTCACACACGTCCAGAAATGAAATTGCTTTAAGATACAATAACAAGGGTCATACTCATTTTAAAAAGTTTCAATCATTAGTTTCATATTGAATTGCCACAGTAAAATAGTGAACAGTAGAAGTAAATCAATCAGTATTAACATCTGTATTTTTTAACATGCATTTGAAAAATAAGCAATTTTCAGGTCAATGAATTTGTTCAGCCAAAGTAAACAGTCCCTAAAGGCTTTTTCAGTCCTGTCTCTTCTACAATGATAAAATAACAGAACTCAATGTCCTATGCTGTCTGACTACTATATCTACAAGCGCAGTTGTGCACAGAGGGCTGTAGTGTTCAGGTACGATGTATTTTGGAGCCAAAAATGATAAATCATTCCTTATCCTGAACAAGCCTAGCATCACCTGGAGCTTTCCTTGTCACAGAGGCTCTCCAGAAATCAGTTAGGATGACAGGTTTCTCGTTAGTACAGTAATTAAGCCATTACAACTCCTTGAGTTTTCCATGCTGAGCGCAAATCAGCTGCAGAAGGAAGTGTTTGCATCAGCAGCATTAATCTGCTTGTCATATATCAAAGTTCCCAAATTCATTTACCCACCATAAATTTCCTATTTGTATTTTCTTCTCTTTAAAAAATGTAACTATTTCACTAACCGCTGCCATATTTATATTCCAGAACAGTTTCACATGTGAAATTTCATCTTCCCTACTATAAAAAATAAAAACCATTCAGTTATGTCCCACAAAGCATATGTAATTAAAGCTCATACATAGAGCAGAACCCTGTGCTTTTGAAGTGAGAGTCGTGCGCAGCAGAATGACAACGCTGAACTTCCACGGTTCCATGGATTTCTTATAGCCCAGCAAATTAAGCTCCCATATTGTACTGTTAATATTAAAATATATTTGTTTCTATAGCAACTTCTGTGGTGCTATTCTTAAATCAAGTTAAATTGCACTGCGGTTTAGGATCTTAACAGTGATTCTGAACTGCTCGCCTGGGAAGGGGAAACGTGGTTTGAACCTAATCAGCACACAGTCTATTGCAGCCCCTTGACTTCTCTCCCTGATCCCCACTGACCCCAACAGTTTAATTAGTCGCTGCCAGTTGACCAACAGCTTCTTCAAATTTCCAGGGAGCAAGATTCTTTTTATGATTATTTTTCTGTGAAAATTATTTGTATACCCTGAAATAAATTGCCTGTTTCAAACAGGATGTGAAGGAACAGTAGGAGGAGGAGCCATGGGAGTCACAGGTCATGACAAGGAGATGGACAATGGGAGTGTATTAATGGAAGATAAGTAGCCACTCAGTGAGGAATTTTAAATACACAATTTTCAATGATCAAAAGTGGCCTTTTTAAGTCCTAAATGAATTATAAAATCCCAAAGTGCATCATTAATGGCAATATATTGTCATTATAGTTCATTTTAGGAACGATTAAGCACAAAAAGAGAAGGCTAGGGCTCTAGAGATGAAACCTTTCAAATGTTAATTCTCTGTTCCTTCAGGCCCTTAGGAAAGTATATGCTTATCTTGGCTTATGGGTCCGTACTGGTTCCCTTGAAACAACATTTAAGTCAAGCCCTTTTAAGAACGCTTTTGCTTATTTAAAAAAAGGATGAAAAAATGGAGGCCATAAGGCGCACAATGGGCTTAAAATGGGAAAATGCTATCTGTGAAAGTGATGTAAAAGGCTACCTGCAACCTTTTCTTCCACACTTGATAGTTCCATACTGCCTAGTTTTGATGGTTTTCAAATTCCCCAGGAGATTTCATTAAATTTGTAGCAAACTGTTTCTTTGGAGCCTTTTTGGGGGTTGAGGGGAGCATTTCATTTTTCACATTCTCTGGAAAAATGATGACAAATAGGGCACTTCTAAATTTAGTGTAATTGTAAAATTGTAAATTTTCAATGTCTAATCTGTTCTGAGTATATTGTTAGCAACCCCCTCACTATAAGTCAAGAGACTTTTTTCCTATGGAATGTAGCAAGCGGTTACTCATGCTTTTAGTCACCCAGCAATATTTAGTTCACTGCATGGCAGAATGACTTCTACATGGAAAATCAGAGTCCAGCACTGAGCTCAACGCAGAAGCACTGGGCACTTACTCTGGCTTGCGCTAATGGACAGGAACATTGTGTGCGTGTGTTAATTTTTTCTCATATACTTTTATCTGCAAAACACCCACATCATCAGGGATCTATAAATAGTGAGAACTCTCCACGTTTAGGATTTCTAGAGAACTTGACATTCTTGCTCCACGCAGAGGAAACGTTGCTGTTCAAAGGGACAGGATTACCTTACCTGTCGCCGTCCCCAGTGCCGGCTTCCACAGGGCTCCTGCGCTCCTGCCAGAGAACCTGTGGTATTCTGAAATTAGGCAAGATGCTCCCTACCCCATCACCCTGAGGACCCATCGTCTTTGTCCTGGACACCTAGTTCTGGTAAAATTTCTGTTGAAGACCTTCCTTATTTCCTAAAGGACTACAGCCAGGGATAACTACTGAGATTCACATTATCAGGCCCTGGTGGAAGGAGAGGTGCAGCATCATTTAAAAGCAGGGCTTACTGTGGCTGTGTTGGCCTGGTCCAAAGCCCAGTTTGTTCTGCACTTTGCCTGGAATACTAAAAGCAGAATTGCAATTTATGCTTTGTAGTCTATGTACTTAAGTAAAGCGCACTGAGGAGTTCTGCTTTTCTTGGTTGTCCTCTTTACCTGAGAGAATGCTTTTACATGTGGCAATCTATGGAATTTCTTTATCAGACAAAAAGTGTAAAGACAACAAGAGGAAAAAAAAGGAGTATTTAAACAGATTTTATGTAATAGCAGAAAACCCCAGCAAATTTATTTGCCATTCACGCCATTCTTCAGAAGAGCTTTAAGCTGAGTAATAAAATGAAACTTATGACAGGAGCTTAAGTTCCTAGAGGAAACACTTCATACTTGAACTTTCACTTAACTCACTGTAACGCAAAACCCCCAGGGGCCCGCTGAGTAATGTGCCAAAAAATGTGACCTGAGTCCCATGTCAGCCTGAAACACCACTTTAGGAGGGAACATACACTGGAGAGCTAAGATATGTATGTAATCAGAAGAGGGTGTTGTCAGCACTGAACTGCAAGAGTCATTAATAAAGCGTACGAGATGCTCCCAGAAAGACGACGAAAGGATTTCCATGGCAAGGACAGATATTAGAAGTCTGTGGGGTTTGTAGCTAACCAACAAAGTTTCGGGGCACTTCAGCCCTGAGACCTAAATCTAGGCGTGGGGAATGGCATCTTCTCCGTTCCTGCATCCTTGAAGATGAAGGCCTTCGGCGTCAGAGCCCTGATTTACACTCTTGTGGTTTTATGACTTCAGTGGAGTCCCTCTGTATTTTCACTGGGGTAACTGAGGGAATTGTCAGATTGAAGGGCCCCTTGGCATGCATGCAGGTGAGGGCAATTCACCTTTAGTGAAAAATAGAGAAAGAAGATGTGAACAAGTGGAAACTCTGAATGATTTGTGCTCTTCACTGTTTCAAATATGTAAGTAGCTTTCAAGTAAATATGGTCAGTATTGTTTAAAGTAAAACATCAAAAACAACATCGCTGTTCTTACTTGCACAATCTATTTGCAGCAACCATTGCTCTTTCCTATTTATTTTTCTGCCACTTTCAGACACATATTGTTCTGAAGGTAAATGTCTAGTGTCATATTCAATTTAAGTACTGATTCCCACTTACAATAAAAAAAAAATATGGCATCCTGAATGCTAATAAGCTTTAATGCTTTTGTTCATAACTTTATGAATCACCAAGATTTATACTTATCATAAAATTCTGGAAGAGAAAGTAATGAGAAACTAATAGACTAAAGTAGGAGACTATTTTCGGCAAATTATATTTGTTTATATTTGTTTATATTATATTATATTTGTCAGCAAATTATATACTTCATGGTGTTGAATATTCTCGGATTATTATTTATTCAAAAAAGCAATCTTGCTAAAGAAAGATAAGATAGAATAATAAAAACAAATTGTGAATTGAAGTTTATGAGCTGTGACGTACCTCAGTTAAATTGAATTGCTTCCACTGAAATGGATCCCAGTTAAGGATCTGGTCCAATATGTTTATATGGCTTCCTTAGAATTTTATTACTTTTTACAATTTTGTATAATCTACATGTGACAAATAGGTTAATTTTACTGTTAAATTCCACTTACTGAATTTTTAATAGTGTCATTAAAAACATAACAATGTCCCTAACCCTTTATAGGCATAGAAGTCTCATGGCACTTTATGCACTTCTGGTAGTACTGGACCCCGTGTCTTGGCAATATTCCATGTTAACTCATCAAGCCTTCCTGCTTTCAAGTTCTGATTTATTCTGGAGTACTTTTGTTCACTGCCACATCCATGGTGTCTTTTTTGTCTAAGATTAATTATGGCCAATACTACCATTACTGTGTTACGGGAGGTTTTCAGCTTTCTAGGTGCAACATCATCCACTGAAACTGGTTTATAAGGAAAGACAGATAAACTCTTTTGCTCACCCTGGAACTGAGCTAAGCAAGTCACTTGACTTCTCTGTCTCCCCTCCCGTTCTTTGTTTGTGCTCTCTGCTAACACCATAAACTCTGTAGGCAGAGACTGATTTTGAAGTACTTAGTTCAGGAGGAGTTTAATCCCCTGAAATGCTATTTAAATAACAGTAATAGACAATTGGCAGCAGGCTGCTGATATACTCAGGCTGCTGCATATCCATGCTGATTAATATTGTCCCGTTGGCTCCTTGAATTCCCCCATGGGTCTGAGCTGCACAGTCCCGGGTCTGAGCTGCACAGTCCCGTACCGTCAAGCTCTCTTCTCTCAGTCAGAGTATATTGGCTCGGGCTTGGCACTAACCCGGCAGAGGCAGAGAGGTTATGGGTTCTTCTTTATTTCTGAAAGACAAAAACCAGCGACAGAAAGTGTGTGATATGTGTGAGCTGTGTTAGTTTTGTAACCCTCTACGAAGGCATTTTAGTGTGGGCATGCAGCGATCATCTCTGACAAATGGGTCATTACATGTGGTCAGTACATGGCCTCTTCAGTGCCCATTTCATAGGGCAGATGTAATTTTCCTAGCTGAAAGATTATTTTTTCAGTGCACGTTGTGGAGATAGGAGCTTTCCGCTTTGACATTGTCCAGTATCAGCCTGAGCAAATGTTGCACATGTTCCTATCAAGTATAGTCCTAAATGTTCTAGGCTGGGTCTTCAAAAAAGCCTTTACAATTTGATGAAAAGAGGCATATTAGAATATATGTTTTTGCTGAAACTAACTCATGGCTATTTACATAATTCAACCACTATTTTTTTAGGTCACTATAAAAAGTAATTCATGTGATTACAGAAATTATATATAATTTCATTCTCTTCTTGTACATCCTTGGACAAAGGATTAATATGAAGGGATGCTACAGAAGGCAGTGACGATGTTCCATTTGTCAGGAAATAAAACCAGAACTAAAACCATGTTCAGAATGAGTCTGATTTTATGGAAGCAAATATTCGTTTCCCTGCAGAAAGGTTTTGTAGTCTGACAGATACGCCTTGAAACTTGGTGAATGTCTGAATCATGAAGCTGTGATATTTCGCTGGATGAAATCTGTTTGTTTGCGTGTTTGCTTGTTGTCTTAAGTTATTATTGCAACTGATGATGTTTTATCTTATTGTGACACATGTATTTTGTGCTCCTTAGATAAATGGGAAGCCTCTGCAGTACATTTTTCCTCATGCAAGGCTGAAACTACTGAGAGATCCAAAGGATCACACAGTTTCAGGTAAACAACAGCAATCCTCTACCAGACAAAATAATTAATTTGATTAGCATGAATCATGCAAAAGATTTGCAGTATTACAAATAGTTCCTATGTCATGTGCAACAGGAAATTCAGTGGTCATTTTAAATCTTGCTATTTGGTTATAACAGAAAGCAGCAGTGCAGAAAAAGGTCACAACATTAGTTTAAGATACACAAGCTGTATAGATAGTAAAAACAGACGGAAAGTCTGTTGTGTTCATTATACATATCAGCAGTCTGTTTTGCTGTTGCTTTTTATATAACTCTGTACTATCCATACAGGAATTTTCTATTAAATTTAAAAAGGGAATTAGGAAAACTAGGTAGGCTTATGTAGGTATTAAACATGTACAGAACTGAGAATTGGGTTCTTTCTTTGGCTTCTGGAGCTATTCTGTAGAAGTCTATAGATGTGGTTAATGGAATAAAATGCCCTTTTTTTCTGTTATATCTTCACATAGATAGATTTATCACAAGAGTTTAGATTTAGTCTCCTTTCCATAACTCTAACACAAATATACCTGTAAGTCTGATTCTGCTTGCAAAGGAGAGAACTGGTCTGTTTGTGCTTTTGGAATTGTACTTTTTCTCATGTCTAGAAGAGACTATATTGATAAGGAACTCAAAGCTTTTCTTTTTCTTGCTAGTCAATATAACACCCATTGATGATTTCAGAATGCACTAAGAACCCTTCACCTACGCGCTACAGTTTGAAAGAAGCAATCAGCCCCCCTGTTTTGTCAGCCTTTACTGCCCAAGGCCCTTACAGTCCACAGGAGTGCCTTGACATCCTAGGGCAGATTTTGTGCCCTGCAGGGTGATGAGTAACGCTGTGATCTGAGCCGCTCTCTTCCTGACGAACAAGGGAAATTATAACCACACAGCTATGTCTATAGCTCACAATTTAATGTTGCTAAAGGCTCGATTCTCCTGTTGAGAAGTTACTTACACTTGCGCAATGTAAAATGCCTATTCCAAATTTTCTGCTAGCTCATGCTGCTGGCAGCCGTGGCACTCATACCGTGCACCGGGGTAAATAACTCGTAAGGCATGAATGGAAAACCAAGGTGTAGATGGTGACTTCCCGTTTATTAATGCAGTGCTCAGCATGAGATCGCATGGGGCCGAACATTCCCTCCGGGTCCTGCTAGGGTTTTATAGCCCCTGCTGAGTTCCTTGCTGCTGTCCCTATGCTGTACAATACCTAAGTTCTAGTTGGGGTAAGCAAGCTGTTACGCCTCTACAAGCTGCAGTCAAACTTTTGGTTTGCAGTCCAGATATATCCTGGAAGAGCTGAAGAGACATGCTTATATATGATGTCTCTTTCCTTACAAGTACAAAAAGGCTCAAGCGCAGATTGAATGGAGAAGAGCCAAAGGTGGAAGAGCTTGCCAATAGGGAGGAGCCGAGGCAGAAGGAATTCTTGTCTCTCTCTCACTCCTTGTATGTCTTTGAGGTGCCATAACTCCTTGACGCTGTGTGTCTCTCCCTCCCTTTCTCTGAGTGTTTGGAGGATTAAAATACATAGAAAGTCTCATTAAAAGTGCAGTGCTTTCTGCTGAGCTCTCAACTTTCTAAATGGCCTTTCCAGGAGCCACATGCGTGAGTTTTATTTGCATTTATAAAAATTCAGTTTTAATTAACCAGTATCTGCAAACTGATAACAACAGTTTATTAACCAGACAATGATTATTAACCAGAGGCAAACTTAGAAATCTATTGCACAACAAAAGTTGCTTAAATACTGGAAAATTAAACATGTTTATATTTTTATACCACCACAGCTACATCACTACAGCAGTGAAACACAAGTAGGATTACTGAATATTAATCTAGATGCCATGGTTCATTGGTTGGCTTTTTTCTTTCTTTCTCCCTTTCTTTCCTTCCTTGCTTCCTCCCTTCCTTCATTCTTTCTTTCACTCTATTTCTCCCTCCTTGTTTCCCCCTTCTCCCCTTCCTTTCCCTCTCAACCCTTCTCCCTCTAGCCCTCTCCTATCACTTTCCTATCAAAAGTACCAAAATGAGGTGTTGAATCATTTAATTTAAGTGTTTGTCTTATACTTGTTGCACAGACACAGAAGAGTATATGGTATTAAAAAAATAGTTACTGCTCATGTGAGGAGTCAGATCTCTCAAGAGAACAGTCAGTCGCTGTCCAGGAGTGACAGGAGTCTCTGTTGCAAGCATCCCTGCAACAGTGTCTTCAGCTGTATCAGATGAGACTCCCTGAACTGCTGTTTAGCTGAATTCTTACCATCCAGGTGGCCTGTGGTCTTACGTGACCAATATAGCATGTGTGATCCATCTTTTTAGATTATCTTACACTATGTACAGAACATCTCCTAAGTGCCTTAACTATGCACAAAAGATGGTCCTATGTGGCCATTTCTGCATATGGAAGAACAGTTTCTACTAACTATATGAAATTATCTTTTTGGTTTGGTCAGGTTTACAGCAGGAGCTGCTTGGGGAAATCTGTGGGAATGCCAGATTCTCCACTCAGGCAATTAATCAGCACATCTGCATCTGTAGCATACAAGTAGCATATCTCAGCTGGTCTATGCACAGCAGGAGCTACCTGGGGAAATCTCCAGAACGATACACTTGGAGCGTTCCTGCAACAGTTAGTTGCTGCTTTGCTGTGAAGCTGCCCAGCAGTTCAGTCCATCATCTTGGCTCATGTCAGTTTGTATGTGCAGAGACTAGCAAGGAAGTTCCTGGGCTAGTCCAGGCTTTAATGATTAAGTGAGCTGGGCATGTGAACAGGCATAGTCCTGATACCCGGCTGTACCACAACTGTAACTATAGGAAAAACTTGAATTTCATCCTTGTATCACCATTATAATTTAAATTCCTTGCAACTTGCGACATACTCACCATAGTGGAGGCTACTGCCTGTTTGGGCATCCAGAAAATGTCACGTTATGAATATTAACAAAAAAATAGTCCCAGTTCCTTTAAAATTCATATTTTGTGCATAATCATTCTGCTTATTTGTTTCTGTGCTTAATAAAAACTGGCTCCAAGATATCTGCAAACCAAGATACTATGCCTTTGATGCATAGTCTTGTATAATCTGCATAATCTGGCCTTTTACACACAAAAGTATTTACCACCAATTTTAGTATGTGAATGAGGTGTTTAAGGAATGAGGAACTGGGCCAAAATTGTGATGGCAGGAGAATAGTAGCGCTGAATGAAAAATAAATGTGCACTTGCTAGCTGGCCTCTCTCGAGGCTTCTTTTCTTCCTTTAGCATGATGCCATTATCAAGAACTCGCAGCTCTTCTTTTCACGATATGCAGCATCGCCATCCTCAAGCAATACTGATAGATAGGAGGGAGTTGCCAAGGGTTTTCTCTGCAAAGATTCATTAATAATTCACACATTTTTTTATAGAATTGGCATCAAGGTTCTGCTCAGGTGCCAAAGCAATGATGGCAGAGATCAGTGAGTGATAATGTAACAATATTTAATGCTCCAGAAACTCACTGTTTGTTTTCAGTGAGAATCTCTTGTGTCTTTTGAATTCTTCAGTGCAACCAGCATAAGCACTGTTTTATTCTGCCAGTATTTTCTCTGCTGGTTTTTAACGTGGCATAGTTATATTTGATAAAGGAGGACATGGCTATCTAAGGCAACAAAAACTTTGGCAATGCCTATAGGAAATGTTGCAAAGGGAAAAATGCATGTTTTCTTCTTCCTGATCAGAAAGCTGTTTAGACACGCCAGAAGAAAAATCCAACAAGGTAGATAAAGCTCAGTATGTCTATAGGAACATTGAGTGCATCTAAGTCAAAGGTAATTCTTATTGCTGCCTTGCCTCCCTTGGGACTGAATCACAAATAACTCTGCTCTTTCCAAATGTAGGATATTTTGTGTATCCAGTAAGCAAAGTGTCGGTGTGAGCTGCCAGACTGTCTATGTTATGGAATATCCTCTCCCATACTGCTGCAAGAGAAAGAAGCAGACAGAGAAGCAATTCAGAAAAGGCTGTGAAGTGCATAGTAGGGTAGAGAAGAGTATTAAGGTCTTAGCTGAAGGCTGTGTCCCTCATCTTCACTTTAGCAGTGAGATGTTAGTGAAACTGCTAAGATGGCAAGGTGGCTGTAACAGCACACACACATCAGAGATGCCTCATACTCTTCATAGGAGATATTAATTCCTGTACCCTGCACCACACCTCTGCAGCATGCCAGCTCATGGTGCACTTATTCAGGGAGAAATGAAGAGAATTAGAAGAGTTTTCTTGTGTCAAGCCTGCACAGCTGTAGTCTCTAAATAAATAACTCTATATATTTAGGATTGTTTTACCCACGTGTTCAGTTGTTGCAGCAAAATACTGACGCACAGTGGATATCTGATTACTAATCAGTGAAAGAGCACATCAAATACAGTCACAGTCCATGTTGAACGTGAAGTAGCAGTCATAGGTTAAGGGTGAGAAATTAACTCAACCCTTGTCCTCATACTCTTTTCTTAAAGGATTATTTGTCCTATTTCTTTGGTTTACTACTGCGAGAAGCTGAGTTAATACTTTTTACAAAAAATACCCTCCTCCAACCCTCATTTTTCAACCGGGGAAAGATGTAATCCCTAATTAATGACCATCGTTTCTTCAAACGCTCTCTCTTTGTTAGAAACTTGGCACCAAAAATAACAACCGATAAACAGAAAGGGAAGCTGTTATAGCCAGCCAACCTCAGGGTTTCCTGTGACAAGGCAGTTAGTGAGGACAGAGATGGAAATAAAGGGATGGAAAGATAATGTGTGTCTGTGTCTCAATAGTCATCTTATAAAGAACTTAGTGCCATTTAGCCTTTCTAAATAAACAAGCATATTTTTATATTTGTTAGAAACATTTTGTAGAGGTACAGGCCATATATTTCATGTTTATGTGTCTTCTCTCTAAATGAGCGTTATTTCAAATGCGGTAGTGAATGTGTTTAAAATACTTTGCATGGACTCTCAGCGCTG